TGAGTTTGAAGTACTTGTCAATAACCCAAGTAACAACACCCAGTCCACAGCTCTATTTTAGAGAGTAGCAGAGAAGTCTGGTATGTAGGTAGATTTGGGAGCCCTGGATTTATGAATGGTAACCCATCCATAGGCGTGTATGAGGTCGTTCAGGGATAGTGTATGCAGAGTGAGAGAAAAATGCAGAGATTGTGAAGGTCGGAGGTGAAGGGACTACCAGTCTCTAAGCTTCATACTACCCTGGCTAGCCCACACCGCCCCCAGAAACTTTCAAGTGCCCAGATCATGGGGTAACAGTGAAAATTCTATTATGTTTTGACTCTCTCTCTTTCTTTGCCAGTTGCGAAATACAGACTCCAAATAGTTAATCCCCCAACACTGCCTTTGGAAAAAATACACTGCCCTGATAAAGATGGTAAGTGGTGAGCTCTCTGGACATAGTTTTGTTTCCTGAGCTGGGGTTATCCTGCTCCCCAAAGCTATGGTAAGTCCCTTTTTCCTCTGCACAGGTCCAGACATTAAGCCCAATCTGTGGATGTGGGTGGACCCAAACATTGTGTATCCTCCCGGCAAGCTGGAGGTCAGGAGACCTAAAAGGGTCTTGAAGGAGGAAGAAGCCAGCTGCTCCGAGGCTTCAGGGGCACTGCTGCTGCTGCCATCTGCCAGCCATCCATCCCCTCCTCACAAGCAGAAGAAGAAGCAGAAGCACATTGCCTCTTCTAGCGCCTGGGAGGAGGTACGGATGAGTGGGCACAGCAGTTGGGTGTCTGAGGGCCAGAAAAGGATGAACACCTTGAGAACTGCTCTGTGCCCTTGGGTTGGGGAGAAGCCCAGATGGTGGATGCTAGACTGCTCCCCCGTCTGCCACTGTATCCTGGAGCGGAGGCCAAGGAGTCAGGACCAGATCCTACTCTGTGCCCCTCTAGCTTACAGAAGAGGAGGAGGCCAAGGACCAGGATGACAGCTCCTCTGTGGCTCTCCCATCCCTTCCCACAAGGGGCCCCCTCCAGAGTCGCAGGAGGCTTGGACAAGCTATCAGCCCAGAGGGGAGGCTCTGGTTCCGTCCTCCTCTCAATTACTTCCATCTAATTGCCCTGGCACTCAGAAACAGCGCCCCCTGTGGCATCAACGTACAGCAGATCTACAGCTTCATTCGGTATGTGCCCCCAGGAGGCCTGTGAGGAGGGAAAGGGGAAGGGTCAGGGTCTAATAATTTCCAACCTGGCCCTGGGCTGCTGACTCAGTTTCCCCATCTGGGCCTGAGCATATATTTACCGTGCTGGTTTTCTTTCCCAGGCAAATGCATGCCTATCCCTTGTTCAGGAACGTGAGCACTCCCACCCCCTTCCGCCTCTTTTTCTTTCTTTTTTTTTTTTTAATTCTTTTTGGTTTTTCGAGACAGGATTTCTCTGTGGCTTTGGAGCCTGTCCTGGAACTCCTTCCACCTCTTAAAAACTCAGCCTTCCCTCGGATATCAGTCCACCTGGGCCAAACTGCAGCTTCTCCCACCCTGCCTCCAAAGATTAGCCAGAAAAAAACTCAATATTCCCAACAACATCTTCCACCTACTGCCCTTAGACTGTCCTGACTGGCACAGGACCCTGTACCCCCTGGGGTCAAGAAAGCCTCACTGAGAATTTGCTTTTAGTGTGCATGCGTGTGTGTGTGTGTGTGTGTGTGTGTGTGTGTGTGTGTGTATGCATGTGCGTGGTAGTTGAAGTTGAAATTAGGGCCTCCTTTTTTGTTTTTGTTTTTCGAGACAGGATTTCTCTGTGGCTTTGGAGCCTGTGCTGGCACTAGCTCTGTAGACCAAGCTGGTCTCGAACTCACAGAGATCCGCCTGCCTCTGCCTCCCGAGTGCTGGGATTAAAGGCGTGCGCCACCATCGCCCTGTTTAGGGCCTCATTTTTGAGATAAAGTCTTGCTTTGTAGCTCTGATTGACCTGGGTCTCATGATATAAACTAGAGTAGGCTTGAACTCGGAGATCTACTTGCCTGTCTCCCAAGTGACAGTGTTTCTCTGTGTAGCCCTGACTGTCCTAGAAATTACTATGTAGACCAAGTTAGCCTCAAAACCAGAGCTCCACCTGCCTCTGCCTCCTAAATGCTGGGATTAAAGGTGTGATACCTCACCTGGCTAACACTCAGCTTTGATATTCATGTCCAAGTGAGTATGGGGGGAGGCCTTCCCTGATTTTAGGCGGAGAACTCAGCATGTTATCAAAATCCTCAACCCTTGAGGGACAGGCAAAAACGAACCTGGGGTTGGGGACAGTAAAGTGGGTTTAGGAGAAGAAAATTCTCAGCCTAGCATGGTGGCACAGGCCTGTAGTCCCAGCACTTAGGAGGTAGAGGTAGAAGGTGGACCAGGAGTTTATGGTCATCCTCAGCTACCCAGAGAGTTCGGTGTCAATCTGGGCTACTTTAAGACTCTCTCAAAAAGACCAAGGAAAAGAAAGGGTCAAAAGTGATTCCCGGGATCGTGGCTCTGCTAGCAAAGGTTCCAGACCAGCCTGCCCCGCTTCACCCTGCTAGCAAGTTCTGAGGCTCCTGGCCCAGGGGGAAAACAAGGCCTAGAATCTCTCAGAGGAACCACACCCTCCTACTTTTCCTCCCTGTCCACAGAAAGCACTTCCCCTTTTTCCGGACAGCTCCAGAAGGCTGGAAGAACACAATCCGTCACAATCTCTGTTTCCGAGACAGCTTTGAGAAGGTGCCGGTCAGTATGCAGTGTGAGGCCCACACACGGCCTCGATCCTGCCTCTGGAAATTGACTGAGGAGGGACACCGCCGCTTTGCGGAGGAGACACGAACCTTGGCTTCCACACGGCTGGAAAGTATCCAACAGTGCATGAGCCAGCCAGGTGTGAAGCCTTGTCATGGGTGGGCCCAAGGGTGGGGGACCTGAGGCCCAGACCCTAGGCTAGATGTGCCCGCCACGCTCCCACTCTAGAGACATCTGTAGGAAGCAGGGAGACTAGGAGTGGTTGAGGCCCTCTGAGACCTTCCACGAGAGTGGAACTAAGCTGTAGGTTGGGAAACCATGGTTGCAGCTGGCGCTGCTGGCAGTTCAGCATGCTGGGAAATCAATATGAGCTGGGTAAGAAGTACAGGGGGTTCTGTGCAGAGACGACTCTTCCAGAGCAAGCAGAAAGGCTTCTGAAGTGGTAGCATTGGAGCCTTGAGCTCTGCGGGACAGCATAGCAGACCCGGGGGAGAGCAGGTCAAGGTTGTAAACTCCTCTAAACTCTCTTACAGATGTGATGCCCTTCCTCTTTGACCTCAAAGAAGAATCAGCCGTGCCCTATTAAAGTTCCCTTTAGCAACACCTGTGTGTGTGTGTCTGATCTCTACGGATGAGGCCAAGCAGATGGGTCCAAGTGGGAAGTGGAATTCAGCTCCAAGAATGAGAATAGGGGTTCTGCTGGGTAGTGGAGGCACGTGCCTTTACTAGCACTCGGGAAGCAGAGGCAGGTGGATCTCTGAGTTCTAGGCCAGGCTAATCTACAGAATGAGTTCCAGGACAGCAGGGGCTACACACAGATAAACGCTGTCTCAAAAAAAGAAAACTGAAAGAGAGAAAATAGGAGTTCTGGAAACTGGAGGATGCGCCTGAGGCGATGAGGCAGTTGCCTGATAGGCACAAAGGGAAGGTGCTGCTTTTCCTTCAAAGGAGGAAAATGTTCAACTCTCTTCAGGTTCGTGGAGCATGATGATCATCTTGGGAGATGCTGGTTTGTAGCAGTCAGCCCTGGCAGCGCCACCTGCTCCTTCAGCTGGCAGCTGGCAAGCAGCTGCTAGTTCTAAGCTGAGAACAAGAGACAGGCCCTGCCGCAGCTGCAAGGGAGGGACAAGTGCTTAGGGAACAGATTACCAGGCTTGTCTGAGATGGCACGGTGTGTGTAGGCAGGCTGGCCTTGAACCAAGACCTGCTTGCTTTGGCTGCTGGGACTTCAGACCTCACCATAGCTGACTTCTGTTTGAAACCTTCAGTCAGTGAAAAGACAAACCAGGCTGGGTGGTGGTGGCACACGCCTTTTAATCCCTGCACTTGGGGATCTGAGTTCGACACTAGCCTGGCCTACAAAACAAGTTCCAGGACAGCCAGGACTATTACAGAGAAACCCTGTCTCAAAAAAAAAAAAAAGAAGAAGAAGAAGAAAAGAAAAGAAAAAAAAATCCCATGGGTGAACCCAGCCATTTGGGTTTTAGTTAATTCCAGGTGGAGTCAAGGTGACACCCAAGAGCAGCTATCACAAGTCCACCCCTTGTCAGCCTGACACAACCATATCTCCTTAAGTCATGTTTAATTTCCAAATGAAAACAATAACCATGACATAACTATCCTGTGTACAATAGCTAAGGCATGTGTTTAACCAGGTCATAATCATGCTTAACATGGTAGACACAACTCTTCCCTCTCACAACAGCGAATACATTTTACATTTTGAAATAGGTGGCAATGTCCCTTTTAGTATCGCAAAAGTGAACACAATCACTGATAGTCTCTTAATTGATGTTACATTACATGATAAATTGAAAGAAAGCACTAATACCTGTGCAAACATACTTAACAAAATATGACAAGCACTTGTCATCTTGTTTCTTCAAGTGGTCATGTGACCTTGGCTGGTTTATAGCTACTTCCTAAGTAGGTCTGTGCTCTCTTCCTGGAGGAGAGACCCACACCCTCATTCCTGAAGGGTCTGTGCCCTTTGTCCTATGCCTGAATTAGGCTGTTGTTTCCTATTGACTTTAATCACAGGACCTCAGGGCACCAGAAGAGGCCCTAAAGATCTCTTGGACTCAATCCAGTTTCCCCAGGGCAATCTCGATCAACCATCCCTCCTAACACTTATTCCTTTCTTGGCTTGTTGACTGGAGGGCATCAGAAGCCCAAAGTGGCCAGGAGGAAATCTGAGCTTCCAGATCATTGGAATGTTTGTTATCTCCTGGCAGGTGCGTTCCCTCGTCAGGAAACAAAACTAGGCTGGCAGAATTTAAGGAAGGAAACAGAAAGGAAAAGAAATTCGTAGTGGGTCACTAGGGGTGACAGTGAGTGGAACTGTTGTTCCTTTTTCCACTCCTTGGCTCCTGGACCTGTGGGTCTTTGCTATGGGAGAAACCGTGCTATCTATTGGTGGCTGATTCCCAGCATATACCGCCTTGAGAAGCCTGCCTTAGCCCTCCAGGCTGCTGCCATCTAATTGGTGCAGTAACTCTGTCTTCAAGAGGCTACTTCATCTTCTGTCAGGCCAGCTACTCCAGGATGGTGAGGAACATGGTGAATTCATTGTGGGCCTGCTGTTAGACTTCTCTGACTGTGAAGTGGGTTCCTTTGTCAGGAGCAATATGACAGTGGATAAAACATCCTGTAAGTCGGTGGATGGTGGTTTGGGCAGAAGCATTGCGTGCAGGAAAGGCAATTCCATAACCAGAGTAAAGACAAAGTGTTGTCCTTTCTATGGAGAAGGTGGTCCACTGCGGTCAACCTACCAACTGGACCCTGGCTAGTTACTCCAGGGAGTGATGCCAGATCTGGTGCTCAGTGTTTGTCTCTGCTCTTGCACATCTGGCCCTCAGCAGCAGCTGCAGCAAGGTGAGTGTCGATCCGTGTTGTCAGGTCCATGCATAACCCCCATCTCTGCCACCATGGCCCCTTTGTTCATGGGCCCATTGGGCAATGACAGAAATGGTTGGGGAAAGAGCAACAATATGGATCATCCTATCTGTTTGATTACTGAATTCCTTCTCTGCTGGTGGCCTTTTGACGAGCATTTACATAGGACATTTCAAGTCTCTGACCAGCCAGCCAGTCCAGTGGCTATAGACCATGAATAAGTCAGTTGCACATCTGGCCATTTCTTCTTCCAAATAAAATGTACTCCTCAAAGTTCTGTCTACTGGCATCTTAGAAAGGGGTTGTAATTAGAAAGGGGTTCCGGGTGGCTCCTGCAGAGCCATCAGTAAGCCAGGTAGAAAGAAGGCCCTAGTCTTCCTCAGTTTACCGATCATAGGGCACACCCTATTATGCTCTAACTGTATGCTTGGCAGCAGATGGCGTTGTAATAGGTGTAGAAACCCGTCATTTGGGCAGCTTCTTCATGTAACTTTCTTGTGCTTTCAGGACTTGCCCGTTCCTGATCATGTATGTATACCTCTTCTATTTGATAGATTGCTGCTCTGCACGTCCTACTTTATGACTTGGTGGGCAACTCGGGTTGCCTGGTAACTTGGTGACCCATTGTCAAACATTAAGTTTCCATCAAGGCCCAGTAGCCAGCCAAAAGTTGCCTCTCAAGAGGAGACTAGTTGTCTGCAGATGATGGTAGACCCTTGCTCCAAAATCCCTGTGGTCTCTTCTGTGGTTCATCTACAGGAGCCTGCCAAAGGCTCCAAACAGCATCCCTATCTGCCACTGAGACCTCAAGTACCCTCATGTCTACGTAATCATATGATCCAAGCAGAAGAGCAGCCTGCACAGCAGCCTGGACCTGTGGAGGAGCCTTCTGTTCCAGGCTCCACTCGAAGCTCACGGCTTTCCGCACCGCTTGACATGTGGGCTGGAATAACCCCCAGGAGAGGAATGTGCTGTCTCCAGAATCTAAGTAGGGTCACAAAACACTGTGCTTCTTGCTTGGTGGTGGGAGGAGCCAGGTGTTATGATTTACAGCAAGGGTGGGACCCTGGCGGGTTCCATGGAGGGTGAGGACCGTGCAAGAGAGAACTTTGCGGCGGGTGGGTGACAGATATGGCATAGGGACAGAGTTTGAACGCGGAGTTTATTGAGAGGAGGGTAGAAAGGAGGGAAGGGAGACTGAGAGGGGGAGAGGCAAAGGCCTGCACTTGAGAAGACCAGTTGGGAAGAGAAATGGGGAGTGGGTGGAGCTTTTTTTTTTTTTTTTTTTTGGTTTTTTGGGAAAGGGTTTTTT